TAATTGTAAATTGCACCACTGTGGCAGATCTGTTTCCAAACATGAGCCTTTACAAAGTCATATTTTTATCTAAAGGGCCTGTATAATCAGTCTACCACTGAGATCCAAAGAGGGGGTGTTCAGTCCAAGAGTAAATTTCTGGTCAGGCTTAATTAGATCTGCTATTTCTGAAGAATAAACATTTCTTAGAATTCATTTTATTTTTATGTTGTTAGATGCTGTCAAGTGGGTTCCAATTCAAAAGCAATTGTATGTACACATACAACAGAGACACTTTGTCCGGTGTTGCACCATCTTCACAATAGTTTGAGTCCACTGTTGGAACCATTGTGTCATTCCATCTCGTTGAGGGACTTCCTCTTACTCACTGACTTTCTCCTTTCCCAAGCATAAGGTCCTTCTCCAGATCAGCCCACCACCATTAACATAAACTCAGGTGGTCAATGGCAACTGAAGTTGCTGAGTTCAATATGGTTTTTTTAATGTTCAAATTTTTTCAATTCTGATATATTCCACAATACAGAGCAACCCAAATCATTATACTGAGCAAAATAAATCTGTTTCAAAAGGACAGCTGTTGTGTGATCTCACTGGTGGTGGTGGGCCATTGAATTGGTTCTGACTCCAGTTTCCAAGAAGCAACTGGTGGGTTTGAATTGCCAATCTTGCGGTTAGCAGTCCAGCTTATTCAACAGTGTCACACAGGACTCCAAGGGTATTATTGCAGCACAACCTTAATCCTCCTATTGGTTTACCACATCCAATCACATTCTGGGAAACCATCATATAACTTCAGCAATACATCATTACACATAACTGCCAATCACTGAGAGTCATGTCCCAGCCAAGTCGACACATTTTGGGTGGGTCCATAACATTCATTGTCCCATCCCAGGGCTTCATCCATGGCTGCTTCCTCTAGACTCCCCAGTTATTCCCATGGTGAGAAATCACTTGAGTTTCCGCTCACCTTTCTGATGCACCCTCCCTCACCAATGGTGCCCACCACTCTACATTTCTGCACTCGGCCCTGTTTGTCTTCCCAGCATTTATCACTGCCTGCCATTATCTCTGTGTGTCAACTGTCTGTCATCCCTGAATGAATGTTGTAAGCTTTTCCATGAACTGCCCTCTGACTCCTTAATTTCCTTCTACGGTGAGAGGAGTGTTTCCATCTCACAGCCTGAGAGCAACAGTGTCCACTACATGTTTGTCCTCAGATTGGTCTTTATCCTTGTCAGCCAAGATAGTTAAGTCCTTGTTTTCTCAAACCCATTGTCAACTGCTGAGTGGCCTCATGGCCTTGTCTTTTCCACAGAGCTAGTGACCTGAATAAAATGACCATGGCATTAATAAATAGTCTCAGCTGATGGCCGCTAGCATGCTGGGGAAATTAGAAAGCCCTGCTTTCAGGAGAGGAAAACATTTGTGATTTCCATGGCCTGTTTTTATACCCAGCACATTGTACAGATGCCCAAAGTAGATTCATAAAATGACAAGTTTCCTTAAATTTTTACTAGTCAGAATTTTATTTCTTGTGAATCAATACAAATATTAAGAGTGTCTGGAGCTATTAATTATTCCAAAAGTAAGAATATTTCCCCCTTTTATTTAGGTGGCATACTGGGCTGATTTGTTCCTATCCCCCCAAAAAATATCTATTCGAGTCCTAACCCCAGTACCAGGCAAAGTGATCTTACTTGGAAATAGAATCTTGAGATGAGCACACGCTGGTGTCCTTAGAAGAGAAGACACAGAAATACAGACACAGAGGGAAGAGGGCCATGCAGAGATGGAAGAAGAAATTGGAATGATACAGCTACCAGCCAAGGAACGCCAAAGGTTGCCAGCAGCCACCAGAAGCTAGCGAGAGGTAAGGAAGGAGTCTTCCCAAGGCTTCAGAGTAGTGTGATGGTACTGGCACATAGATTTTAGACTCCTAGTCTCCAGAACTGTGAAAGAACACGTTTGTGTTGTTGAAGCCTCCACTCACTTTGTGGAAATTTGTTACGACAGTTCTAGGGAACAAATATTATTGAGGTGGATTTTGTTACTCAGGATTCAAATATGGGAGCGTATTTGGAACATTACATATCTATTTTTTTCCCAGTTGGCAAAAGATGGAGTGTTTACCACTTCTAAAAGCAATAGCATCGTATCATCCTTATCCCAAGTGACTCTATGATATTGACAACTGAGAGAAATGAATTCTGGTTCCTGAGGCTTTCCTATTGTTTCTTGAACATTTAAATGATCTCAACCTCTAGTTTTCCCAGTTTCCCTCCATTTTTTAAAAATATGGAAAGAGAGTTAAGCATGGAAAGTATATAAGAATTCTGAGCTCTAATGAAACCTAAAGGAGCTCTGGTAGCATAGTGGTTAGGAGTCAGGTCAGCAGTTCGAACCTACCAGCTGCTCTGTAGGAGAAAGATGAGAGGTACTGTTCCCATAAAGATTTATAGCCTTGGAAGCCCTATACAGGGTTTCTATGAATCAGAACAAATTCTACAGCACATAATCACCACCAACCACCACCAGTGCAACTTAGTATTTGTGACTTGAGAGTCTATATGATGCTTTTGGTCATGAGCTTTAGCTTAATATGACAAAACTACTCTGTGAGGTAAATTGGTTTTGTGATTCTGAGTGAGGAAATTAAGGATACCAAATTAGGCTCCGTCTTATTACAAGTATTGCTTTCTCTATATAATCTCAACTTGGATACTGTCTTTCTTTCTTTTTGTATGTGTGCAATGTATATATCCCAAACCCAAACCTACCACCAACGAGCTGATTACGACTCATGGCGCCCCTACTGGACATAGTAGAACTAACTGCTCCGCTGGGTTTCTGAGGCTGTGAATCTCTATGGGAGCAGACACCCTCATCTTTCTCCCACACATAAATCTTCAGCGGAGTGTAGTAACAACCAGAACATGGAGGATCTGGAGGCTAGCAGAGACTTTAAAGGCAATTTGATACAAAGGCCATTTGGCTCTGGCTCTGGCTCTTATTTAACACCCTCATGGGACATTTAACCGATATTGAAACACCTCCAATGTTGAAAATCTCTATGCCCTTTGAAATAACTCATTTCTTTTAAAATAATATTTTATTGTATTTAAAGTGAAAGTTTATTTACACAGCAAATTAAGTTCCGGTTGAACAGTTTCTACACAGATTATTCAGTGACATTGGTTACATTTTTCACAATGTGTCAACATTCTCATTTATTTTCTTCTGGTTGTACCATTTCCAGTGTTCTAGTTTCCCTGCTCCTTACCTATTCATCTTTGCTTTAGAGGAATTTTTGATCATTTGATTTCCTATAGATGAATTAGAAAACAACAACAACAAACTTTTTTTTGTTATGAATTGAGGAACGGTTTGCTGAGCAGATCATCAGTTTCATTAATGTAACGTCACTTCATGGCCTTCCTGCGTTTCTTGTTTTGATTCCATCTTCCTTCCCCACCTTTCTGAACTTGTTTCTTGATTTAATGCTGCCCTTTTAACAGAATATGGCTGACCATTCTATGGCATGCTTACCTCACTAGTGTTGCCCCTACTTTGGATTTATCTACTGCTTGGCTGAAAATTGAACCATGGGGGTGAGTTCAGTTCCAGACCTGAACGGTGACCAAGGGCTGTAGTCTCAAGGTTCCACCAGTCTCTGACTAGTATGCCTCTTCTTTTTTTTTTTTTTAATGATTTTGAGTTTTGTTCCACATTTTCTCCCACTCTATCTTGGCCTTTCTAATGTGATCCCATGCAGAGCGGTTGGTCTTGGTAGCTGGGCACCATCTAGTTCATCTAGTCTTAAGGTTGTGGAGACTGATGTTCACATGTTCTACTAGTCCATTGGACTACTTGTTTCCAAGCCTCATCAGTTCTCACTCTTCTTTCTTCCACACACAGAAACCAATAGCTGCACCTTAGATGGCTGTTCATGAGCTTCTAAGATCCCAGAGACACTACTCACGGAAGTGGATGCAGAACGTTGTCTTAGTGGACTATGTTAGGCCAATTGACCATGGTGTCCCCTGTGACATCATGATAAACAAAAAAAAGATTGAAGTTCTCAAGGATTCCATTCTACTTGGATTGATGATGAATGCCCAGGGAAGCAGCAGCCAAGAAATTAAATAACATAGTTCATTGTACAAACCTGCTGCAAAAGATGTCTTTTCAAGTGTTAAAAAATCCAACCAAATAAAGGGAAGATGTCACTTTGAGGATTTAATGGTACCTGCCCCAGCCATGATATTCTCAAGCATTCATAATCATGTAAATGCTGGATGATGAAAAGGGAAGATTGAAAAGGAACTGAAACATTTGAATTGACAAGAACAATGAACAAATCTGCCTTGGAGGGAGTACAGCCAGGGTGTTCCTTAAGAATAAGGATGGTGAGACTTTGTCTTACTTACTTTGGATTTAGGATCAGGAAGGACTTGTCCCTGGAAAAGGAAGCAGAGGTATAGGGGGGTATACATGACCAGCAAGGAGCTCTGGTAGCATAGTGGCTACGAATCATGCTGTGAACCTCAAGGTCAGCAGTTTGAAACTACCAGTGGTTCTGCGGGAGAAAGATGAGGCGTTCTGCTCCCGTAAAGATTTACAGCCTCGGAAACCCTGTACAGGGTCTCTATGGGTCCGAACCGACTACACGGCACATAACAACAATAACAACATGACCAGCAAACTAAAGAAACTGTAGGCTTCTCCGTGTCCTCTGGCAATGTTAATTTGCATAACCAAAGGGGAGCCAGGTGGCTTACAGCCTGAATCCAGAGTGCTTTTTTATCTAACAAGTCATACAGAAATCGGTTTCCATGGTTTGCTGTCTTGACCGCTTTGCAGGTGGCTGAGGAAACGCAGCTTGTTAAGGACCAAGCAGAGTCATATTTTCCCCATGCCTTATAGGCTAGTGCTTCGTAAAGATAAGGCTTTTTGTGTCTGAAGGGAGGGAAGGTCTTCCTGACAGCTTTAGGGACAAGATGGTCCGGACTTTACTTCTAGGCCTGCTTTCTTTTCAGTTTCAGTTACCCTTTGTTTTCCCGGCAAGAAACAGTTCTCTAAAGTGCCTGCAGGACATGGAGGTCTTCCTTTCTGACCTGAACTCAAAGGAACCCAAAGAATACGCTCTAAGAAGTAAGTTGGCTTTCCTGACCTGTCAGGTAGGTAAACCAGTGCAGAAACTGGCTCGGGGCAGCCTGAGGTTCTTGCAGCTACTCTTGCCAGGAGTGTTCTAGAAAACCACAGAACCAAATAGGGATGAGAAGACAAACCTCATTTTCCAAGTCACACCAGGATTCAGGAGCGAGGAAGGCTTTCTGTGGCAGAAAGCGAGAGAGGAGGCAGTATGAAATCCAGTCAGAAGGAACCTTCTAAGGACCAAACTGTTAACAAGATGAGAATTCTCTGATGAGAGTTGTTTCTAAATGGTGATGGATGCCCTTTACTATTATTGTAGAGGATAACGTTTCACTGTTGCATAAAGTAACTTGGTTTGTTTCGTTGTCTAGATGTTTTGCCTGCTTTTGATAATGAATTACTTCACGATTCAGGGCACAAGTTCTGCTCTTGATGTTTTTTGTGTTAAATTCTAAGGAGTGAGTTGGTAAATGCTTTGGCTGGAGCTGTGAGAATGAACAATGTAGCCAAACTCTTTTTAAGTGATGTGGATGGACTCCAGGAATGCAGGATTTGTTCTTGGTCAATTTCCCAAATGTATTCTCACAACTAAAAAGACACATACCTTTCTGCCAGAAAGCAGATGTGTTCTCAGTGGGGTGATCTGTCCCACCATTATTGATGCGGATGGCAACCATTCATAAGGCAAAAAACTGAACATACCAATTTCTATTTACATTCGGGGCAATCCACGAATTGATTTTGTATTGGAAAGCATTTACACTTAGCATAATATTCATCATAAAGGTAAACAAAAGTTTTGAAATGCTATTATTGTTAAGAATCCGGTCTGACTCATAGGGTTCCCAAAGAGCAACTGGTGGGTTTGAACTGCTGACCTTGTGGTTAGCACTCCAGTGCTGATCCTACAGTAACATTGTTGTTGTTGAGTGCCATCAAGTCGATTCTGACCCATAGAGACCCTGTATAGGGTTTCCGAAGAGCAGCTGGTGAGCTTGAACCACCGACCTTGCAGTTCAAATGGCTTTGCAGTCTGGTGTACTAACCCACAGCGCCACACCAGGGACATAGCAACACGTAACTCCTCCAACAGGACACATTGAATAATGGGTTGTTCATCTGTAGGAGCCTGAAACTGGAATTTGTTTTAGTTTAAATGTGGTGGTGGTGGTGGTGGTGTGCCGTGGAGTTGGTTCCGACTCATAGAGACCCTGTATAGGATTTCCAAGGCTGTGAATCTTTATAGGAGCAGAAAACCTCATCTTTCTCCCACGGAACAGCTGGTAGTTTCAAACTGCTGACTGTGAGATTAGTAGCCCAATTTGTAACCACTAAAAGAAGGTCTGAGAACATCAAAGTCCAGATTCAGCCCAGCAGTGGCCTTGGAGGGGATTAGGGTGGGAGGCCCTCAGGGAGGCGGCACATACTGATGGGGGATGAGACAACAGTGTTGATTTTCATTCTTTATACTTCAATCTCATAATGAGGAAATCTCGTGGTGCAATAGTTAAGTCCTCAGCTGTAACTGAAAGGTTAAAGATTCAAACCCATTTGGTGATCTGTTCTGGTAAAGACTATTGTTACATGCCATTTAGTTGGTTCCAACTCATATCAGTCCTGTATAGAATATCTGAGAGTAGCGGTGGGTTCAACCACCACCCTTGTGGTTACCAGTCCAGTGCTTATCCTACAGCACCACACCAGGGATTTAGGCTGTAAAGCTTAGAGAACCATATAGGGTAGTTCCACTCGGTCACAAGGGATCGTGATGAGTTGAAATAGACAGGACAACTCCCAGCATAACACCTGCTTGGGGAAGAGTTCAAGAATGTTCTAAGACTGTTTCTGGGTGTTGGTGAGCTGATTTCAATGAATGTTGTTATTGTTAAGTGCTGTTGAGTCGGCTCTGACCCATAGCGACTCTGTCCAGCAGAAGGAAACACTCACTGTCCTGTGCCATCCTCACAATTGCTTCCACGCTCGAGCCCATTGTTGCTGCCACTGTGCCAATCCACCTTGTTGGGGGTCTCCCTCTTTTTCTTTGTTCCTCCACTTAATCAAGCATGATATTCTTCTCCAGGGACTGGTCCCTCCTGATAATATGTTCAAAGAATGAGAGACAAAGTCTGGCCATCTTGACTTCTAAGGAGCATTCTGATTGTACTTCTTCCAACACAGATTGGTTTGTTCTTCTGGTAGTCCATGGTACTTTTAATATTCTTTTCCAACACTATAACTCAAATGCATCAATTCTTCTATGATCTTCCTTATTCATTCTCCAGTTTTCACATGCATATGAGGCTACTGAAAATACCACGGCTTGGGTCAGGCACACTTTAGTCTTCAAATTGGTATCTTCGCTCTTGAACACTTTAAAGAAGTCTTGTGCAGCAGATTTGCCTAATGCAACACGTTGTTTGATTTCTTGACTGCTACTCTCATGAATGTTGATAGTGGAACCAAGCAAAGTAGTCTTTAACAACTTCAATGTTGTTTTCCATTTATATGGATGTTGTTGATAGGTCCAGTGATGAGGATATTTGTTTTCTTTACATTGAGGTGCAAACGAGGTGCAAGGCTGTGGTCTTTGATCTTCATCAGTAAGTATTTTAAGTCCTCTTTGCTTTCAGCAAGTAAAGTTGTATCATCTGCATATCGCAAGTTGTTAATGAATCTTCCTCCAATCCTGATGCCATGTTTTTCATAATCCAGCTTCTTGAATTATTTGTGTAGTCAATAAAGCACAAGTAAACATCTTTCTGGTATTCTCTGCTTGCAGACCAGATCCATGTGACCTCAGCAATGATATCCCTCATTCCACGTCCTCGGCTGAATCTGACTCAAACCTTTGGCTGTTACTAGTCAATTACTGTTGCAGCCATTTTTAAATGATCTTTAGCAAATTTTTACTTGCATGTGATATTAATGATATTGTCTGATGAGTTCTGCATTCCATTGGGTGACCTTTCTTTGGAATGGGCACAAATATGGATCTTTTCCAGTCAGTTGGTCAGGTAGTTGTTTTCCAAAATCTTGGCATAGATGAGTGAGTGCCTCCAGTGCCGCATCAGTTTGTTGAAAGATTTCCATTTGTATTCCGTCTGTTCCCTGGCCGTTGCTCTTTGCCAATGTCTTCAGTGCACCCTGGACTTCTTCCAATGTCTCTTAAGCATATGCCACCTCTTGGAATGGTTAAACATGGACCATTTCTTTTTGGTACAGTGGCTCTGTGTATTCCTTCCATCTTCTTTTGATGCTTTCTGCAGCATTTAATATTTTGTACACAGAATCCTTCAGGATCACATATTGAGGCTTAAATTTTTTCTTCAATTCTTTCAGCTTGAGAAATGTTGAGCATGTCCTTCCTTTGGTTTTCTAACTCCAGATCTTTGCACATTTCATTATAATATTTGACTTTGTTTTCTGGAGCTGCCTTTGAAGTTTTCTGTTCAATTTCAACTAATAGTGACCCCACATGACAGAGTAGGACTTCCCCTAGAGCTGTCTTGGCTGTGATCGTTATAGGAGCAGATAGCCATTGGAGTTACTAAGTGGTTTCAAACTGCCAAGCTTGTGGTTAGCCGAGTGCTTAACTGCTGCACTACCAGGGCTCCTTCCTTAACAGCTACTTTTGCTATACATCTTTGTCATAACCCTTCAAGTTCCTGCTGTGTGGTTCCTATGCAGGGTCCCCGCCTGGTTGCTGATCTTCCTGTTCTGATGTTACTCACTTTGGCCCCATTGTTTATCTTCCAGATGATTACTGCTTCACACCTCTTGTATCTGAGGTTCAGCTTCTCTCTGGAAGCCAAGGCCCATAGTTTCTGGTTATAGGAGGTGGTCAGTAGATACATTAGCACCAGCAGTGTCTGGATCTAGTCGAGACTTTGTTCTCAGTCATTAGCAGAGGATGTCTTGGAGCATTGCTTCTTTCCTGTGTGGCTGCTAATCTGGAGGTACTGAAGGGAGGGACTGAAAAGATGCAGAAACTGATGAAATAGAATAAGGAAAACTTGTCTCCATTGAAATTTTGCCATTCACTGGACTTCAAATATTCCTGTTGTGGTAGGCTGAAACATCTCCCTTTCCCTGACAAAAATACTCCCATCCTAATCTCTGGAATCTGTGAATGTCAACTCCCATGGAAGCTGGATCTTTGGAGATGTCACTGTTTATGAGATGGTGGTCATGGATCATCCAAACTCAAATCAAACCCCTGCCAATGAGTTCATTTTCAATCAGTTGAGTCTTAACCTTATCTCAGATTTCTGACATTGTTAAGACAGCCTCATCTTTCTCTGGTGCCACCGAGACTCCTATTGGATTATCCAGGTGGTCCTAGGTGTAATTGCTGTCTTGTGTGCCACTGAGTGAATTTCAACTCAGCAACCCTATGGGACAGAGTAGAACTGCCTTCAAGGCTTTCTTGGCCAGAATCTTTAAGTAAGCAGATTACAAGTCTTTTTCCTGTAGTTATTGGGTGAGTTTGAACTGACAATCTTTCAGACAGCAGCTGGGCACTTAACTGTTACACCTCTGTTGTTGTTAAGTGCCGTCTAGTCAGTTCTGACCCATAGCGACCCTGTGTAGGGTTTCCGAGGAGGTGAACTTGAACCGCCAACCTTGCAGTTCAAACCAGCTTTGCTGTCCAGCGCATTAACCCGCAGAGCCACAGTATGGATTCTTTAAATGAAGTTACATTTACCCTTATAAGACAGAGGAAGACTTGAGACAGACAGAAGAGGAGAAGGAGATGTAACCATAGAGGCAGGAATTGGAGTGAGGTGGCCAAAGAATGCTTGTAAGTATCAGAAGCTTGAAGAAACAAGGAATAGAGCCTCCCCTAGGACCACTGGAGGGCAGCAAGGCTCTGCCAGCACCTTGATTTTAGACTGTTGTTTGAATCCACTGAAGTTCTGGTATTTTTCACAACAGCCATAAGAAAGGAATGAATACAGATGCTATTTTATTCTCCAAGTTCAAGCTGAATGAATTGC